TGTGTGTATGTGTGTGTATGTATGTGTGTGTATGTGTTTGTATGTGTTTGTGTGTTTACGCTCGCATTACACAAATGTGTTGCTGGTCTAAGGCGTTCCTCGCACAGCATTGCCGCTTTATTATTTCAGTCGTTTACTGCCTTACGCACCCTGAAAGTCGTGTGTGTCTGCAGCAAGCGCGTGTATGTGTACCTATGGACGCGCGCGCGTGTGTTGTGTAGGGGGAACGGTAGTGTAGTGCTTAGCGTGCTGTCTGTGTCTGTGTGTGTGTCTGTGTGTGTGTCTGTGTGTGTGCGTGTGTGGTGTGTGGGGAGCGGTAGTGTAGTGCTTAGCGTGCTGTCTGTGTGTCTGTGTGTGTGTGTGTCTGTCTGTGTCTGTCTGTGTGTGTCTGCGTGTGTCTGTGTGTGTGTCTGTGCGTGTGTGGTGTGTGAGGAGCGGTGGGTGTAGTGCTTAACGCTACGCTGCGCTACCAACCCGGCGAACCGAGTTCGATTCCCGCTCACGGCCACCACCGGTGACGATTATTTGAACCTCCCCTAGGTCGACTCAGCCTCAAACGAGTAACTGGTGTGGCGTATTAACATCGGCACTTGGGAGACAAAGGCGGCCGGGCGTGGTGGATCCAAGTCCCGGGCGAAGCCGGGTAGTACAGCTAGTCTATATATATAAAATCGTTCATGTCTGTCTGTGTGTGTGTGTGTGGACTTTGGCCCATACGCACTTTCATTGGACGGCGGTTGCCCCTGCCAATGGCTAGCCACGCCTTCGCCGCTTTCATTGGACCTGGCAACGGCTAGCCACGCCTTCGCCAAGGGCTGCAGTTTCATTGGACGGCGGTTGCCCCTGCCAACGGCTAGCCACGCCTTCGCCACTTTCATAAGCTCCGTATTTAATTAAATAATAGCCATTACACAGTATTGTTGGAGCGCTAGGGGGGGGGGGGGGGGAAGGAACGCCACCCGTACCCTGCCTTTTCCAAGCCGACAATTTTAGGCGAGGCCGCAGGCTTTGCACGCTACTAGGCCTCGACACCCACCACGCCACTCTGAGGTAAATTCATCAAAGTTTTTCCTACTCTTCACTACACCCCCACCACAATGTGTGCTATTAATATTACTTTTAAACCCAACGCGCCAACAATCGATTACTTTAATGTTCACTGTACAAATACTCATTAAGCTGGGTGAGCGTACTGCCAGTCTATCATGTACACTGTAGCCTGCTTATTAAGCTCGGTGAGCGTACTGCCACTCTATCATGTACACTCTAGCCTGCTTATGAAGCTGAGTGCGTGTACTGGCAGTCTATAATGTGGACTCTTGCCTGGTTATTATAATCGATTCTTTATATGTTCTTTGTACAAACAGTCATTAAGCTGCTTGAGCGACCCCAGTTCGATTCCAACTCACGCCCACCACCGCTGACGATTATTTGAAACGGACCTGGCCCTCCCCTAGGTCCACTCAGCCTCAAAAGCGTAACTGCTGTCGTGTGTGAACATCGTCACTGGGGAGACAAAGGCGGCGGGGCATCGTGGATCCAAGTCCCGGGCGAAGCCGGGTCATGTGTATGTGTGTTTGTGTTTATGTGTATGTCTGTGTGTCTCTATGTATGTGTGTATGTATGTGTATGTATGTGTTTGTGTGTATGTGTGTGTGTATGTATGTGGGTTTTTTTTTATGTCTTTATGTGTATGTCTGCGTGTCTCTATGTATGTGTGTATGTACGTGTGTGCATGTGTTTGTGTGTATGTATGTGTGTGTTTGTGTGTATGTGTATGTCTGTGTGTTTGTATGTGTGTGTATGTGTGTGTATGTGTTTGTATGTATGTGTGTGTATGTATGTGTGTGTATGTGTTTGTGTGTTTACGCTCGCATTACACAAATGTGTTGCTGGTCTAAGGCGTTCCTCGCACAGCATTGCCGCTTTATTATTTCAGTCGTTTACTGCCTTACGCACCCTGAAAGTCGTGTGTGTCTGCAGCAAGCGCGTGTATGTGTACCTATGGACGCGCGCGCGTGTGTTGTGTAGGGGGAACGGTAGTGTAGTGCTTAGCGTGCTGTCTGTGTCTGTGTGTGTGTCTGTGTGTGTGTCTGTGTGTGTGCGTGTGTGGTGTGTGGGGAGCGGTAGTGTAGTGCTTAGCGTGCTGTCTGTGTGTCTGTGTGTGTGTGTGTCTGTCTGTGTCTGTCTGTGTGTGTCTGCGTGTGTCTGTGTGTGTGTCTGTGCGTGTGTGGTGTGTGAGGAGCGGTGGGTGTAGTGCTTAACGCTACGCTGCGCTACCAACCCGGCGAACCGAGTTCGATTCCCGCTCACGGCCACCACCGGTGACGATTATTTGAACCTCCCCTAGGTCGACTCAGCCTCAAACGAGTAACTGGTGTGGCGTATTAACATCGGCACTTGGGAGACAAAGGCGGCCGGGCGTGGTGGATCCAAGTCCCGGGCGAAGCCGGGTAGTACAGCTAGTAAAGATATAAATTTGTGCTGAATTTTTTTTTAGTTGCCTCCCATCATCACCAAATATTCCATATACACGGTACCTGTTCAGCAGAATACTAATGCATAACATACTGCAAATAATAATTGATACACTTGTTTACAATGCATGTCGATATCACAAATAGGAAAAACTAAGTTAATGTAGTTAAGCTTCTTAAAGAATTCTACAAAAAAACACATCAAAGTGTTCAAGAGTAGCAACAATAGCATATTGATTTGGCTGCTATTGGACCGGCAGCAGAAATAAATCTCAACAAAGCACAGCCACGGTTGCCTGACCACCACACGTTTATCCACCAGGTGGTATTAATTGCATCAACCATGAATGGACAATAGGCTGAGTCATCCGTTCATGGCCGGGACTTTAACCCCCACGCCCTGATAATTTGGGAGCCCTACTGACTCTAAGTAAACTCAAAGGTATTTTACGACGCGGCTAGCTGCAGCGTTTGGGACGAATGCCACTGGGCTTACACAAAAGGGCCCAGGTTGTCACAAATGAATATCTTGCCAACAACGAAAAACGATTGTTATAACATGCACAAAGTGAAACCGTATGTTTGTGAGTAGGCAATGGATTTCACTGACGTCACTGTATTCCCCTTAGCTTCACTTTACCCGGGTTGAGGCTGTTCGTCTCACTCACACTGCAAGCCACATTTTCTCTCTGCCTCTCTCCTTGCACTGGTCAACTTCAGAATCTCCCTCCCATTACCCAACTCATTACCCTACTCAAGGCAAAAAATGAAAACCGTATTCTCCAGATAATATATTTTTTTTAAATGTCCATGCATTTTAAAGCAAACTTAAAAGGGTGCGCTCTTATACTATGGCAGGTTTTGTTGTGATCAGAATTGTGGTATAATAATACAACAATAATAGCACACGACTCACGCGTGGCTGAACGTGTGGGGAGCGGTGGTGGAGCGGTTAGCTACGAACCCGGCGAACCCGAGTTCGATCCTCGCTCACGGCCAACACCATCAGTGACGATTATCTGAAACGGTGTCCTGAGCTTCCCCTAGGTCGGCTCAGCCTCGAACGAGTACTTGGTGCGGTGTGCAGTAAACATCGCCGCAGGGGAGACAAAGGCGGCCGGGCGTGGGGTTTTACATTGTCTGCCGACAATGTACGCATAGGAAACGGGGGTGGGGGGGGGGGGGTGAAGCCTCGATAATAATTTGTCTACATTGGCCTTCAAATGAGCCACAGTTCAGTGTCTTGAGCTGTCAGACAACGAGTACTAGCGGGAGAAGTGGCACTGTGGGAGAGGCGTCACTTCGTGTGCCACCGTGCCCCTGACTGCAGCTGTCACGCAGCTCAGCAACATCAGTGGCCAAGGTGCGCGACTTAATTCCTTAATGCAGCCGGCGATGGACTCTCTGTTTGCTTAAAACACGTTCATATTTCGATTGAAAGCTTTCGTGACTGCAGGGATTCATCTTCTTGGTTCTTTCGATAAAGTCACGTAGAATGGAAATAATAAAATAATAAAAATAACACATAATAAAATAATATAATAGTCTATTTTTTATTTTATTATGTTTTATTTTTATTAGAATAAAATAATATAACAGTATATTTTTTATTTTATTATGTTTTATTTTTATTATTTTATTATTTCCATTCTACGTGACTTTACCGAAAGAACCAAGAACACGTTCATATTATTAATCCTTGATCGTTTCTGCGTGGATTAAATATCGGCCGTTCTATAGGATTCGGGGGGGTGGGTCAGGCGTACGTACGCAGGTGGGGGGGGGGGGTCTAAAAAGTCTACGTGCGTACAGGGAGAGGGGGGGGTCAAGTTTTGACAGACAGATTTTTTGCGTACCTACTCAATGGATGCCCCCTAGGTGGTTATTGTGGTGGTTGTAGTTCTTCTTGGTTCTTTCGGTATGCTAGTATTTAATTTAATTCATTATTTTGTCTTTATACGTGACTTTACCGAAAGAACCAAAGAATAATTCCTGCAGTCACGAAAGCTCCAAATTAAGTTTAAAGTCACGTGACTTCACCGAAAGAACCAAGAAGATGAATCCCCTGCAGTCACGAAAGCTTTAAATCGTGGTGGTTGTTATTGGTGGTGGTCGGTGAATTTTTTTTATTTTTGTGCCCCCCCCCCACGCCCCCTAGGTGGTTATTGGTGGTGGTCGGTGAATTTGTTTTATTCTTCTTGGTTTTTTCGGTAAAGTCACGTGACTTTACCGAAAGAACCAAGAAGATGAATCCCTGCAGTCACGAAAGCTTTAAATCGTGGTTGTTGTTATTGGTGGTGGTCGGTGAATTTGTTTTATTCTTCTTGGTTTTTTCGGTAAAGTCACGTGACTTTACCGAAAGAACCAAGAAGATGAATCCCTGCAGTCACGAAAGCTTTAAATCGTGGTTGTTGTTATTGGTGGTGGTCGGTGAATTTGTTTTATTTTTGTGCCCCCCCCACGCCCCCCCCCCCGTGCCCCCCCCCCCCCCCTCGTGCCCCCCCATGCCCCCCACCCCCCCAGTGCACAGCTTCGCGGTGTGGGTGCCAGCGGGCAGCCGTCTGGAGAGCGGGCCGGCCACGCTGCACTTTCGGCACAACGCTTTCGTGCTCACGCGCCACGCGCCCCCGGCGCTGCTGGCGCACTGGCGCCTCGCGGAGCTGCGCCGCTACGGCGCCGTGCCCGGGGGGTTCGCGTTCGAGGGCGGCACGCGATCAGCTGCAGGTCCCCTGAAAGCAATCGCCTCGCACCCCCCCCCACCCACCCAGCCAGCAAGCGGAGATCGTGATTGACTGCTTGGGGCAATTTCAATTTAAGGCTGTCGTGACTGCAGGGATTCATCTTCTTGGTTCTTTCGGTAAAGTCATCACGTAGAATGGAAATAATAAAATAATAAAAATAAAACATAATAAAATCATTCTCACGACGTTTCGGCCACAACGTAAGCAGCCGTCCTCAGGTGAAGAACAGGTCTGTCGAGAAGACATTCAGACTCTGTCTTCTCGACAGACCTGTTCTTCAACGCAAGCAGCCGTCCTCAGGTGAAGAACAGGTCTGTCGAGAAGACATTCAGACTCTGTCTTCTCGACAGACATGTTCTTCACCTGAGGACGGCTGCTTGCGTTGTGGCCGAAACGTCGTGAAAATTGTTTTGTTGTGTTTTATTTTTATTATATTATTATTTCCATTCTACGTGACTTTACCGAAAGAACCAAGAAGATGCTTGGGGCAAGTGATGTTAGTTGGGGGGTGGTTGGTTAGTAACCACACCCCGGACGGCTTTGTCTCTGCCCCGGTGGCGATGTTTACGCACCGCGCCAGGTTACTCTATTGAGGCTGAGTCGACCTAGGGGAGGCCCATGACCGTTTCAGATGATCGTCACTGGTGTTCGCCGTGAGCGGGAATCAAATTAGGGTTTGTAGCGCAGTGCGCTAACCACTACACACCGCTACACACTACAACCACCAAGAAAATGTCTTGACAGAAATCATGGTATTTTTAGTGTTTTACATTTTTCTCCCTTCGACAAGGTGACACAATTGCTATGCGTGATGATGATGGAAATCTTTAAATACACAGCAGCGTTTGGACAAGAGGCTCACGAGCGAGTCATGGAGCTAGTCGTTGCAAAGATTTCATTTTTATTATGATACATCGATGACCAAGTGGAGGGGGTTGAATTTCGTGGGTCTCCTGACTGTATATAAAATCAAAAGCCAGGGGGAACCATCGCGAGTAGGACTCCCCCGCCCCCCCCCCCAAATGCCAAAGTGTGGCTTCAACTTCCTGGCAATTTCTGCCGGTAATTATAAAGTAAAGCAATTCCTAAACTATTTACCAGGTAAGGCCCACTGAGCTATAAAGTTATTTTTCAGAATCGAGCTGGTCACAAATTATAGTCAACAAAGTGGCTTATCATGTGGAAATGTATAGCAGCCAAATAATCTAAACGCATGTTAATTCTAAATGTGGAGGGGAAAAACTGTAAGACTCGGAGAAAAATCCAAGCAACCACGGGGAGAACATGCAAACTCCAAATATGCAGCAGGCGTCACGGTTGGGGTTGAATCTACGGTCTCTTGTATACCAGGCGAGGTAGCTAACATCTCGCCACCTGTTTTTTTATGTAGAATAATTCATTAATATGTCATACCCCAAGTATATCTACACTAGAATGTAATAACCATGGAGTAGCCAAGTCTCTTTTGTCAGAGAGATTGAGTAACATCCAGCTGATTTGTCCTGGCTTCTGATTACTCTAGCTCAACGTTTTTTTCCTTTCTTTCTGCAATTGAGACAGTTGAATTGATGAATCACAGGACTGGACACTGGAGAGTCACGTGATGTGACTTTCACATGCACACTTGTGCATGTGAACCCTCCTTTGAAACAAGGAGAACAAACTCTGCCCTAGTTCTGTCCAGTATGGGTGACTTAGCGGCTAAGTCTTTGCCGCTAAGCTCATGAGCGCAGCGCTTTAGCTCAGGCTCTTTCAGGGACACAACATCAGTGGATGTTTTCACAATCCTTGCATTTCACAGGTAACGCAAATATATTGAGACTAATTATTCACATTTTACATCTGATAATTTACCTCCCTGAATATAATTGATATTCTGCGCATGTTATACTGTGTTAGAATATTGTACTCTCGTCTAGTGTATAGTATTTAACTAAATGTTCATTGGATTGAGTGGATCTCCTTTGTGGCTTTTAATAAAATGCCGGGAAACACAACTTTGGGCACCCTGCAATGAAAAAGGACTCCCCGTGTTGAATCGTGGCAATGTGGGTAGCTTTCAATACCACTGCTGAGTGTGTAACTGCACGAATGCTTTCTCCAGGGTGATGTGTGCAAATTCCTAAGAGGATAAAAGTAGAAAAGAAGATGGCGAGCATTGGGAAAAGGCCTAGCAATGCCCCATGCCTTGGTTCCCCTGGTAGAATCAGCTTTCTCACAATGTAAATCATTCCAGCAACTACCGTCTTGTCTATTCTCTGCTTCGACGCAACTCAGAGCACTGGGACAGCATCTCCGTGTAGCGCAGTGCAATGTATGTGCAGAATTTGCCACTGCCTCTTTATCCTGTTGTGCATGAATCCCATCAGTGCAATAAATGATAATTGAAGAAACTGATTTATAAATGATTTTATGGGGCTCTTTGACAAATAACTTGCGGTGTTTCTCATGCAATGCTGGCACAAAATGGTTGCTTTTGCAAACAGTCTTGTGGGAGGTTTAGCATTCACAGGCAGATGACATAGCAAGGATAATTTCAATCTCAGCATGCCCACACTAAAAGGGTAGTTTATTTGGCCACCGTGAAGTACCTTTGTGTTTCTATTGCCAGGTGCCCTGTTAACTTTGTTATTGTTCAGTCTTGATTTGTTATTGTTCCTTGTATTAGACTAATGCACCATGCTCTGCACTTGGGGTGACGTTTGGGTAATGGATTTGGCTCTTGACTCAGGTGCCGGTGTGTTCTTCCTGGCATGCACGGAGGCCGATCAGATTTGCTTCCTCTTCGACTGCTTCGTCGCAGGATTTGCGTCACCAAGAACCTTCCGCAGGGCACCCACGCTGTCCGGTAAGAGGGCAACGGCGACCCTGTGTGTGTGTGTGCGTTTTTTTAAGCAAGACTTGAGGCTACTTCCAGAGATGAGCTGCCATGATTGATGTGATGGTTAGCACACAGGACTTGCAATCCATCGCCTGCCAGTTCGGTTCATCCTCCCGGCAGTTGAAACAAAGTGGCACGTTTCTTATATCTCCCTGCCTCTGTCCACCCGGCAGTGCAAATATACACCCTACAGTTAGTCAATCAACTGTTTTAGTGGGATAGATTGTGGGTACACCCACCTTTTCAAAGAAGTCTGCCCAGCGCAGAAGATGAGGCCAAATACCCCCTAGCGGGGCTCTGTAGAGCTTCCATATGCATAGCAGGAATGATTGTTTGGCTTGCTGGCTAGGCAAATTGTCATGCCAACTGGGAACCGCTAACCGGTTTACTCTGTAGTCTGCTAAAGGCTATTCCATGAACATCACATAGCGCTTGGCAGCCTAAGGCTAATACAGGAATAAATCCTCCCTTGGTGGAGGGCTTAATACGACACCAACTGAAAGTCACTTATCCACATCAAACGCTACCACATAGCTCTCTGATGGGATTTTGAGTCGTATTGTGTGTTCTTCGGTATCATGTCCGACGTTTCACTCTATGTCCAGGGAGCTTGTTCAGGAAGTAACTCGTCATATATATTGCTAAACAATGCGTGGCACAACCCGAAAACACATCGCATAGCTTGAGAGCTCGTGCGATGTGTATAATATACAACATTATTTCTCTTGGCTTTAAAGTATTGAACACTATATACATTTGTCCAGACAGTGATGTACACTTTAAAAAGCATTGCATAATCATCCTTCAGACATTCCATGCTTGAATGAAAATAGTATTAGGCCCAAATGGGTCATTCTGTTTGGTGTCAACATCTCAAGTTTGGATGCAGCTGGATTTTATGGTGTAAAATGGGAATTAAAAGTACACTTCAAAAGCATGAATTCGTACTTGGCCACACACACATACAATCACAGTGTTTAAAGCATCTGTAGAGTAATGTTATACAATAACAGTGGTCACACACATTGAAATGCTGGCGATATATCGCATGGTATAAAAGAAATCGTACACTATGACATAAAGCAGACTTTCTTTACTCAGCAACGTGTCTAAAGAGACGCCTTTTATTTCCCTCAGTCTCTTTCACTTCACCAGTGACGCTTATTTCTCTGATTAATATAAATTGCTATTGATGTGTTTTGAAATAGTCATGTTTTAGTTACTGGTCGGTGGGATGTTATTATTTTACTGCTCCGAGATCCAAGAAAAGCCTTTAGTGACTCCTCTTAAGGCTGTGTCGAGCAGCTTCTGCTTGGTATGAAATTTGGATAATTCCCCACTGAGTATTCAATCCTCATGTTTTGTGTAGAAGGTAAAGGTGCAGCACTGTAAGTGTTTGCTCATTCCACTGCTGGTAAAAGGGCCTCCACTTGACGGAGGTCTACATAACTCTTTTAAAGCATATATTCTTCTACGCTATTTTAAAACAACTATTTTTATTTTAGCAGGTAAGGCCCACTTAGTGATAACTCTTTTTCACAAGCAAGCTGGCCACAAATGATAGCGAAACGAGGTGGTTTATATTGAAATTCATAGCAGCATATTTACTCTAAACGCATGTTTCTAAATGTGGACAGGAAAACTAGAGGATCCAGAGAAAATTCCACACGACCATGGGGAGAACATGCAGACTGCAAATATGTAGGCGTCAGGGTCGGGATCGAACTCATGCCAGGCGAGGGAGTTAAAATCTGACCACAATGGCGCTGACTACATGTCTTGGAGTAACAACACTTTACCCCACTACCACACGTGACCTGCCACGCAGCTAACTGTGGTGGACCCATTTATATTGCTGGGTGAACAGAGGCAGGGGGATAAAATAAAAGACCATTATTTAAACTGCCGCACCGGAAGACTGAAATCAACGGCCTATGGGAGCACAAATAGAATATAAGATTGAAAGAGTTTATAATAAGATAGAGTATTTCAAATGCAGTACATGTCAATGTATGGAATGGGGCTCAGGCTATGTACAGGGCTCATCCCCCATGCTTGTGCACTGTGCAGTAATGCCCAGTTCCTTTCTCATCATCACATTGAAGCAGAAATAGCAACGTGAATTATAACCTCAACTTAATTAACACTGCACCCACTGGGGACAAGAGGAGTGTTTGACTCAATCATAATAATAATTACTTTAATTACATTGTGCGAAAAAGATACGTGTAAAATTCACAATAAAATATTGTAATGGTTAAGCTGCTGATGAATGTCTCATAGACTATGGCATTTCGTGCTTTCTCAAAGGCCATGGACTGCCGTTGATCAATTAAGGTTGAAAACAAGAATACATTGGCTGTGTCTATCCATCCTTTGTAGCAGGAGACCAAGATAACGCTTGTAAAAAATAACCAATATATACAAAATGTTAGTATAAAGCAGTGTTGCTATTAGAAACTTACCCTGTAGAAAAATTTGCTAATTAATTAAAGGGTGTCCCAAAACTCGGCGATTAAGAAAATCCGTTGTGGTCAAGACACTAATGTAACAGCATGCTGCTGGAAACCATTACAGGTTATATGCATGCTTTTTATTCCTTGTTTAATGGCTAAACTTGCCAGGCTATTCTTTCCTGAATGTCTACTGGGGCTTAACACAATTCTATGAAGTGCCGTGAATTATCCCCTCCAGACATATTTTTGCACTATTTAATACTTGACTTCATCATTATTCTAAGAGTACAAATTCTGCAAAAAATATTGATTAAATTAGGACCCTTGTTGTGATTCATATCACCTATACGCTCTGTTGGTTTCATAGCCACAAATCTTAATCGCTTTTGCTTTATTATCCATCCAAACATTCAAACAACCATGGTGGTTGTTTGAAATTATTTTACCACACTGGTCAGTGCGGCTTGATGAAAGGTGAAATGGCCAATACTACTGATGTTAGCCACAGTCAGAAATGTAACATAGGTGGCTGGGTTTACAGTGCAATGTGCTAACCACTGTTGAAAACATTTACTGCGGTGATTGGGATGTAGACTGAATATATTTAAACAAAACTATACAACTTTTCTTTTGCCTGGTAAGGCCCTCTGAGCTATATACAGTGAGGGAAAAAAGTATTTGATCCCCTGCTGATTTTGTACGTTTGCCCACTGACAAAGAAATTATCAGTCTATCATTTTAATGGTAGGTTTATTTGAACAGTGAGAGACAGAATAACAACAAAGAAATCCAGAAAAACGCATGTCAAAAATGTTATAAATTGATTGGAATTTTAATGAGGGAAATAAGTATTTGACCCCCTCTTAATCAGAAAGATTTCTGGCTCCCAGGTGTCTTTTATACAGGTAACAAGCTGAGATTAGGAGCACACTCTTAAAGGGAGTGGTCCTAATCTGGGACCATAGTCACCAAGAAAACAGTTGGTAACACACTACGCCATGAAGGACTGAAATCCTGCAGCGCCCGCAAGGTCCCCCTGCTCAATAAAGCACATATACATGCCCGTCTGAAGTTTGCCAATGAACATCTGAATGATTCAGAGGACAACTGGGTGAAAATGTTGTGGTCAGATGAGACCAAAATGGAGCTCTTTGGCATCAACTCAACTCGCCGTGTTTGGAGGAGGAGGAATGCTGCCTATGACCCCAAGAACACCATCCCCACCGTCAAACATGGAGGTGGAAACATTATGCTTTGGGGGTGTTTTTCTGCTAAGGGGACAGGACAACTTCACCGCATCAAAGGGACGATGGACGGGGCCATGTACCGTCAAATCTTGGGTGAGAACCTCTTTCCCTCAGCCAGGGCATTGAAAATAGGTCGTGGATGGGTATTCCAGTATGTCAATAACCCAAAACACACGGCCAAGGCAACAAAGGAGTGGCTCAAGAAGAAGCACATTAAGGTCCTGGAGTGGCCTAGCCAGTCTCCAGACCTTAATCCCATAGAAAATCTGTGGAGGGAGCTGAAGGTTTGAGTTGCCAAACGTCAGCCTCGAAACCTTAATGACTTGGAGAAGATCTGCAAAGAGGAGTGGGACAAAATCCCTCCTGAGATGTGTGCAAACCTGGTGGCCAACTACAAGAAACGTCTGACCTCTGTGATTGCCAACAAGGGTTTTGCCACCAAGTACTAAGTCATGTTTTGCAGAGGAGTCAAATACTTAGTTCCCTCATTAAAATGCCAATCAATTTATAACATTTTTGACATGCGTTTTTCTGGATTTTTTGTTGTTATTCTGTCTCTCACTGTTCAAATAAACCTACCATTAAAATTTTAGACTGATCATTTCTTTGTCAGTGGGCAAACGTACATAATCAGCAGGGGATCAAATACTTTTTTCCCTCACTGTAGTTTTTTTTCAGAAGCGACCTGGCCACAAATGATAGCTCTACAAAGTGGCTTATCACGTGGAAAATTATAGTAGCCAAATACGCTTTTTATGCTTATGTCTCTAAATGTGGAGGGAAAAACCAGAGGACCCAGAGAAAAATCCACGCGACCACGGGGAGAGAGACATGCAAACTCAAATATACAGCAGGAGTCAGGGTCGGGATCAAACCCAAGACCTTCTGTATACCAGGCGACGTAGTTAACATCTCGCCACTGTGGCACCCATCTTGGTGATATCTTTCCTTACCCATGATTGGTTAGCTAATGACTGTCACCACTCCACTCTATTGGATATAAGGCATGATAATGCTCGATAACTAATTCATACAGTTTTAACATTCATAATATAGCTTTTTTGGGTTAGATCATGGTAAATATAAATGTGTCGTTAAACCTGCCACCACCCGACAGCCAATTAATAAGGTTCGTCACGTAAACAGAACATGCCAAGTCATTACCAGTACAGCACACTGGTGTGTTGGAGAGCAAATTCACAACATTTAAAATATGAGTGTGGATTTACTCTAAGTGTGTTTACGTGACAACCCTTACTAATTG